ATCTATGTGACAAACGTGCACATTCTGGACATGTATCCCGGAACTTAAAGTTTAAAAAAAAGAAAGAGAGCTTTTTTGTTGTTGTTGTCGTTGCTTTGTTTTGATATTTAGTACATGAAGTCTTAGTACTTAGTTGCTTTGTTTTGATATTTAGTACATGAAGTTTAGGATAACTATTTTTTATCATTCAGAAATATTCTTGTATTTTTAGTTGCCTTTTATTTACAAAATAGTTTTGTAAATCAACTTTATAAAAATAGTATTTGGATTTTAGTATGGTACAGTGTGTTTAGGTTTGACATTGTCCCTATTCCCCTATATTCTAGTGCAGTCCCCTGATTTCTAAACTTATGTTTTTGTATTTATGCAGACTTTCTGGCCCCATGGACATTTCAGCTGGAGATACTTGTATTGGATTTTCAAAGTGGGAAAAAATATGACGTTTTCCCAAATTTATTTATAAAGTTCATAGGAATCAAACTTAATTTTATTTTTCCCGGCTTTATGGCTTTAAAAAGAATGCTGTCAGGAGAATGTCCTCTGTGGTAAAATTTTGGTGCATGGTTGTAATCATAAAATACGAATTGTTTAGTTATTTAGTTTATAGTATATTACAGAAAACACAGTTATCGGCGAGGAAAAGCTGAGCTGAAGCAGGTGGATTTACAGGAAAAGAACAAGAATGGGGCCAAAACAAAACAAAACAAAAACTCCTGAGAAACACACAAATGCATTAGGGTTTTCTTCCTCTCTAGCTAATGTAGCTGATTTGAAAGGAAGTGATTGCTTCGTTGAGTCAAGACACTTCGATGATTGTTACTAACCTTCCTCTGGTGGGCAATTTCATTCTCACTCTTATAGCCCCCAAGGAACTGCATGGGTGCACACTAGAGGGTTTCCTGACCAAAGTTCATGTACAGTGTAATTTAAGTAAAAGCTCTGATTATGTTCTGTGCTGCTCTGAGTTAAATGATAGGAAAACCTGATATGTGTGGAAGGGCAGAAGGCAAGTGTGTGTGTTTTCCTCTCCTAGTTCAATAAAAGATAGCACGAGAAATGAATTAACTAATGCGATTCTAGACATTAAGCAGCTAATACTAGGAAGTTGGAAGCAAAAATAGAGTATCAAGAATATTGAGAAGACTAATTTACTGATTTATTCGTTTATATATCAAATCTGTTTGCTTCAATGTAGAACCATACTTCAACATATATATGTGTATACACACACACATGGGATTGGCATATATTCATCTGAATATTACAAGGAGTTAAATATCAGCCATATTAAAATCTATCGTTTTGGTATTGCTAAATGCCCTACTTTGAATTTCTCAGTGGGTCTGTTAATTTTCCTGTGAGATGATTTTAGATATATCCAAAAGCATACTCTAAATGATTAGGACACTTTAGGAATTGATTCTATTAGCTATCTACCTTCTGGTAATATACACCATATCCTTAAAACCATCCTACTTCATTAAATCCTGACTCCACCCAATGAAAGGCGGCAAAAGGAGCTACTGTTATGATGGAGTCCATTGTTTCTAAATTTATAACAGGTTCCGTGGGTTTACTCTTCTAAATTCTACCTGCTGTGTTTAAATTATTGGTTTATTAAGACAAGGAATAGCAATAGAAAGAAACAATCATTTTAATATTTGAGAGTGTATTTTTATTTGATTCATAGGCTGACTTATGTTATGCAAGCAATTAGAAGGATAGCTTATTAAAATAATAATAAACACATTATAGCTTTACTTTCTCAATTGTCTTGAAAGCATAGTGGCTTAATCCTAAGTGGCACCCTTTGTTTGACACAAAGGTGGAAGCAAGAGATGCAGCTCCCACCCCTTCCTGGGAGTCTGACCATCCTTATCTGGCACTTTTTTCTCATCACTTTTCACTGTCTAATAAACTATAAAATATACATATTTATTGTGCTTATTCTTCCACTCACAGAATGTAAGGTCTGTGAGGAGAGAGATTTTTGGGTATTTCATTTTACTGCTATAGTCCCATAATAAGCACTCAGTGAGTATTGGTTGAATGAATGAATGAATATGAAACATTGGAAGGTGACACTGTACAACAGTGCACTAGGAATTTCAGCAAAATCATTAGTTAACGTTGATTCTGGGGCTAGTGAACAAGTTTGGGTTCCATTATTCACTTTATTAAATTGTAGCTTTAGGAGGTCAAGAAAAATTGAGGAACATCTACCAACAAATTGTACTTTCCATGAGTTTATGACCTGGAGTCTTTTCTCCTTTGCCCAGATGTCAAAAATTTCTTTCCCCTGTATTTCTGACTGGCTAATTCCTAATCACCTTTCCAAAAACTTATTTCCAGTAGCCATTTCTCCAAGAAGTCTTCTTTGACACCCCCAATATGGGGTAGATGCTTCTCTGATATTCTCGACCAGAATTCCATTCTTTAAATCATACCAGATTGTATAGGTTTAGCTTCCTTCTTCTCCCCTGCTCTGAGGGCAGGGGTCATAGTTTTCCTGTTGTTGTTGTTGTTGTTGTTGTGTTTGTTTTTTAAATTCAGACAGTGCTCAGTTCCTAGAAGGCACTCAATTACAAATAAAAGTGTAGGGGTAGGTGGTGATGATGGGGAGGAGAGATGGGATGGGGGAATAGAGAAAAAATATGAATAAAAGGTGATGAAAGGTTATTTAATCAAGAGAGAACATCTAGGCAATGAAAGGATTAGGGTATTACAATAGGTTTCCAAGAGAAGTTTATTTAACTGAGAAATTCAGGTCATATTATAAGACAGGTAATATTCTAGGCACTGAGGGTGCTGCAGTGAGCTAAGAGATAATGTCTTTGCATTCACAGAGGTTATATTTTAGTGGGGGAAGACAGACAATAGTTGAGTATAAACTATATTTGTAAAACAATGCTTAACAGAATGTAAAATTAATATAAAATGCATTTAAATTATAAAAAGACATAAATTCTAGATATGTATTACAATATAGAACTTGGGGATGTTTAAAGGATTTCAGAACTAAGAGTGTCAAAGCTGTCTCTTTGCTCAAGTGACCTCAGAATTCTTTCCTTGTAAAATGCTGTACATGGGATCCCAGAATGGGAAACGCAAAATGAATCCCTCCAGCATTGGCACTTGTAACCTAACACATGTACGTCAACGCACATGAAACACAGAAGGAACAATCTGTGTAGACCTTAAGGGGCCCTGTTTCCAGTTGTGTGTGGAGGCATCGAGCTCTGAAGGGAAATGGTGGTCTGAAGGCTCCCAGGGTGCAAGCCTCATTCATGTGCAGCTGGACAAGACCCCAACATCTCCACTGACAACAGGGATGCAAATGGTTTGAGAACCTAAAAACTAAATACACTACTCCAGACTTTTGGTTAAACATAACTTAACTTTTTTCACCCTCCAAGGTTTTGATTATCTTGGTAATCTTTACTTGTCAGTTATAGAAGACAAATAATTTGAGTTTTGTATTGGATTGGGGAACCTTCCGGACTATGGGTACCAGTAGTTGATTGACAATATAAGGACTATGCTACCATCCTTCTGCTAATATAGGTGAATTATTTTACCAGCATATGGAAGGGCATAGTTAGAGTATCACAGTGCTTTGTGGTAGAGAAAAACAAAACAAAACAAAACAATTACAGTGAATGAGGAAGAATGGTGTTATTGCAGTACATAAGACTTTGATTACATACCACCAAGGTTCCTATCAGCCTAGTAGTTGTTGACAGATAAAGTAACAAAAATGAAACTCATTTATTCTTTCCTTATTGAGACCTCAAGGTAAAGCAGATTTTCAGTTTTTGTACTTAACTGCGTTGATAGAACAGAGACCGACACAAAAATGTGTCAGTCCAGAAATAGAAATTAAACCTAGGTTCATATCAAAATTTCATTTAGCCTTGGAAAAGGAGCTGCCATTTGGATTACTTTTGATCCTAAAACAAATATACTAAAGAATATCACAGTATACCTGTTATGTATTAATCCTTCCCTGTGAACCATACTTTCAAAGTTGTTGTTTTCATTCTACAAGGCTTTATTTCTTTTGCAATGTTTGAGGCAACTTGAATTATCATCAGAGTAGCGTTCATTTTGCTAGCCACAGACATATACATTTCAGTCTGCAGGAAGTATGAAACTAGATTTGGAAAATTAATAGCAGACCCTTTCCTCTATTACAAAGTTATACCTCATGCTACGGTTTGATCATGAAGATAAGGACAGAGTAAGTGGGAGATGTGATGTGAGAAATTTTGGTTAGCGGTGTTGAGATTGTTGATGTGTGTGGGATAAATTTATGGCTAAATCATTTGTATCTTCCCTTCATGTTACTGAAGTTGACATAAGAAAGATCTATAAGCCAGCCTCTCCCTCCCTCCCTCCCTCCCTCCCTCCCTCTCCTCCCTCCTTCCCTCCCTTCCTCCTTCCTGCCTTCTTCCTTCCTTCCTTCCTTCCTTCCTTCCTTCCTTTTCTCCCTCCCTCTCTCCCTTTCTTTCTCTCTCTCTTTCTTTTCACCTAACTAGCAACATGTACATTCTGCTGTAGTTTTTCATAATTAAGATAGTACTAAATGGCCTGTGGAATTCTGGACACAACATCATGATACACTTAGTGAAATATAAGTAAGTAAATATAATCATCAGTGAGTTCTACACATCATTATAATCCAACTACTTCTATTTCATGAGTATATCCCAAAATAGTTTGGCTTAAGATTTTTATTATTATTCTAAAGTCTACATTTGATAATTTTCTCATTAACTTTTTAGCAACAGAAAGATAGCATGAACTTGTTTCTTGAATTACCTTTCTGACCTTTTGCAAGATGATAATTACAAAAAAGGGAGGCCTGGAAGACTTGTAAAAAAATTAAGCTTATAAAAGAGCTAAAATGGTCCTTCTTTGCTGGTGTCGATTTCAAAATTAACATTTTGGTTCATGTGCTTCTAATAATCACTGACCCTTACCTCGTGTACTTTCCACAGGAAATGAATACGGCAGAAATTACTTTGACCCACTGATGGATGAGGAAATAAACCCAAGGCAGTGTGCGATGGAGGTCAGCAGAGAAGGTGAGCTAGAATTAAGTATGTAATTTTTGTGTCAGAATATTCTTTTCCATTCATGAAAATGAGGTGACAAAGATCACCCATGCAGTTCCATTTAGATTTTGCAGCTTACAATTTAAATGATAAGTTTTAACCACTAACAATATGATGGGCAGCGAAGGTAATTTTTCATCAAGGACAGTGGGCTGGTCAGATGGAAGAAACAGCGATGTGCTTTCATCTGATGCTACTGTGAACAGTTTGATGCCATCATAAGGCCCATGTATGTGTCTGAGGAGCATCATCACCTTCAAATGCATCTCTGCTTTTTGAGTTTAAAATGAGCATTCTTCAACAAACTGCATCTAGCATGTGAGATTTCCATATCCTCTGATGACTGAAGTTCTTTCCTTGAATTCATGGTACCACCACCTCCCTTTTGAGAATTATGAAGGGGAAGTGATATGATAGCAATTTCCTCTTCTATAACCTCGAATACTAGTTGTGGTTGTAAAATAATAATTCAAAATTGCTCCTTAAGTTCATAGTATTATACATATTTTATAGTTTACAAAATAGCGTTTTTATAAAGGTTATTGATGTGATATTGACAATGACAAATGTTACTTAGAATCAGCTGCAGTCTAGATCATATCCCACCAGTGGGTGCCAGTCATTGAGTCTGCACTTTTTCATAAAACACTAGGGTAAATTCTCACAAAAAGGACTCAAGCATAGTGCAAAGATTATTTTACAAAGTAGCTCTCGATAACCTATTTTTAAATGATGCAGAATCCACAGATATTATCAAAAGACCTATGTGCAAGATAAGACAAGGACTTAGTCTCAGAGTCAGTTTTCACTGGTAGCTCAAAAGCCAGGGTGGATGTGAGGCTGGAAAAGTTCGACCTTCTATATACCCAAACACACTTGGGGAGAAAGAGACAATTCTAGTGATTTCTGGGGAGGGGTGTTGATTGAATTACCACTGAAGTCTGTTTAAATTTCTTAGGAATCACAATATATAGTTATATTTGGTGGAATGTTTGTAATGCGAGGACTCCCTAATTTGGGAAAGGTAACTTAATAAGTTGTGTTCAATGAATAAGGAATGGTTCTAACTACAGACAGGTAAGTTTTATAAAACATTGCTGGTCACCTTTTCCCTTCTCTAGTCAGTTACTATTGTCTGACTCCCGCAGCTAACATGGGGTCCCCCGTTTCAGAGCAGGAAGCTCTTTCTGTGTATTTACCTGTAGCCAGATCCGTGCTGGTGTGTGCTGCGGGAGGTGGGGGCTGGCCCTCTTACCAGCTGCGGGTTCCACCTTTCTAATGAGCCTCCTTTCTAATGAACTCCTTCGCAATTGTTTTTTATTTCCTCCGCTTCCTTCTAATTGCCTTCCCACTTTTTCTTCTCTTCTGCTTTCATTTTTCCCTTCATTTCTTCCTCAGCACTTTTTTCCTCTTCTTTCTGAAGTTCCTTCTTCACTACAAGATACATTTTATATATATTGGAAAGAGATTTTAGATTTTTTTTGAGACAGCGTCTCACTCCCTTTACCCAGGATGGAGTGCAGTGGCATGATCACGGCTTTCTGCTGCCTCAACTTCCTGCGCTCGGGTGATTGTCCCACTTCAGCCTCCTGAGTAGCTGGGGCTACAGATGTGCACCACTACGCCCAGCTAATTTTGTCTTTTTTTAAATTGAGATGGAGTTTCACCATGTTGCCCAGGCTGATCTCAAACTCCTGGGCTCAAGCAATCCACCTATCTCGGCCTCTTGAAGTGCAGGGATTACAGGGGGTAGGCCACCGTACCTGGCCTTTAGATTTCTTTTTCTCTCAAAATAGGTAAGGATATATGTATCTTCATTTCATCTATCTAGGCTCTTTGTTACACATGCTATGGCTTAGGAACTCATGGTTGAAAAATAGGTTTTCTCCATTCTCCTAGATCTTCTGTAAGTTATGTTTTGTTACCCTGGAACCCTGTGTATTCATATGATATAAATGAGATGCACTGGGCCAAATGTGACTGGTAAAAGATCAGTCTGCTATGTATTTCTACCACCTTCTAGGGTGTTTCCACGAACCAAAGGATCACTCCTAATAGCGAAGCTCTACTCTGTTTATGGTATCAAGAAAAGAAAATATAATGAAAACTCCATGAGGAAGGAGTTCTATGCATCTTATTCATTGGATGCTGTATATCCAGCACTTAGTGTCTCACACATAATATGTATGTGATACATATTTGTCCAAAACCCAGTGAATAATATAGAGTCCTGCACTTTCATATTAACCCATAAACTTCGTGTGACCAGATACTAGATCTGTCAAGATTAGTCTGATATGCATGATACAGTAAGCTCCATTTTCTAACATTCCATTATCAAAGATAACAAGTTCACATCGGATATTTGAAAACACAGACTGGGTGCGGTGGCTTACGTCTGTAATCCCAGCACTTTGGGAGGCCGAGGTGGGCGGATCACGCGAGGTCAGCAGTTCGAGACCATGCTGGCCAACATTGTGAAACTTCTTCTCTACTAAAATACACAAAATTAGCCAGGCGTGGTGGCGCGTGTCTGTAATCTCAGCTACATGGGAGGCTGAGGCAGGAGAATCGCTTGAACCCGGGCGGCAGATGTTGCAGTGAGCCGAGATCGTGCCACTGCACTCTAGCCTGGTGACAAAGCCAGACTCCATCTCAAAAAAAAAAAAAAAAAGAAAGAAAAAAGAAAATATTTTGTGGGAAAATAAGTAATTGATCTCTGAGAAGGGTGTTTTGTGATGTGCTAACTTTCCCTGGATCATATCTGACTTTCTATAAGCTACTGTCTTGACAAATTGGCTTTAAATTGTACACTGACCTGTTTCACTAGTGGAAATTAGTTTTTGTAAATCCACTTAAAGGGTCTTATTTCCAGAACTATTGTAATATACATATATTAATATATATAATATAATATATATAATATATATAAATATATAATCTACTTATATATCATATATTGTCACTTGTAATAGATAAGTAATATATAACATAGTAATATAGTAATATTATAATACTTGTTAAAAAGAGGACATATTTGGCTGGATATGGTGGCTTACACCTGTAATCCTGGCACTTTGGGAGGCTGAGGCGGGTGGATCACCTGAGGTCAGGAATTCGAGACCAGCCTGGCCGACATGGTGGAACCCATCTCTACTAAGAATACAAAACCAGCTGGGTGTGGTGGCATGCATCTGTAATCCCAGCTATTCAGGAAGCTGAGACAGAAGAATCACTTGAACCCGGGAGGCAGAGGTTGTGGTGAGCTGAGATCGCACCATTGCACTCCAGCCTGGAAAACACGGTGAAATTCTGTCAAAAAATAAAAAATAAAAAAGGGACATATTTGAGGTGGGATCAAGTATTCGTGGTCACTTGGGATTTCTTCTGATAATGGCTCCCACTGGTGAATTCCTTCAGTGTAATAACACAGCTATTGACCAAAAGCCTTTTATTGGCCAGTCTTGAGATTCAGTCCCATTGTCCAAGTGGTGGCAAAATATGAAACGTCTCAATCATATGACAGTAGCTTTTGGAGTTGTAATAGGAGAACAGAAGAAACAAGAAGATGCGAGTATGCAGAAAGAGAGCTCAGCTCAGCGCCCCCTGATAAGACGAGTCCTCAGCCTTCAGTCTGCAATTCATAATGTCCTCTTTTTCTTTTTGCTTGATACTCACACCTTCACAGTTATTCCATTTAGGGGTCAACCAGTGCTAATTAGCAACCTTTCCACTTTCTCTGTCACATGGGGCTAAAGGTTACGCAGACACAACACCAGAGCTGCTGGGATGGTTCCAGAGAGGGGCAGTCTGAAGCAAGCTAAAGTTCACAGCATTTCATGTGGCAGAATTTTGGGAACACCCCAGAAGTCTTGCTTGCACCCATCTGTCTTCACTTTAGTTGAGTAGTTGAGCAGTTGAGGTGCTTTTTTTTTTTTTTTTTTTTTTTTAAACAGCCTGGAGTTGCAGTGCCATGATCTCAGCTCACTGCAACCTCCATCTCCTAAGTTCAAGTGATCCTCCCACCTCAGTCTTTTGAGTAGCAGGGACTACAGGCACATGCCACCATGCCTGGCTAAATTTTGTATTTTTTGTAGAGATGGGGTCTTGCTGTGTTATTCAGGCTGGTCTCAGACTCCTGGGCTCAAGCAATCTGCCTGCCTCAGCCTCCCAAAGTGCTGGTATTATGAGCCACTGCAGCTGTTCTTATATTTATTTGTTTGTAATCTATACTTTACTTCCAAAACAATTTGAGGTAGCCTACAATAGAAACATAAATGGATATAATTATAGAAAAGTTCGAGTAAAGATGGAAGGGGAATTTGAGAACACCTGCAAAAAGGGACAAGTTAATGTGCAAAAAACACAGGACAATATTATTACCTAATTAAGCACTCATTTTTACACTGAGCTTCCTGGAAGTAATGGTATAAAGAGGAAGGCCCTAAGTAGGTTACTTTCTATGTTTAATATAAATTATGTTCTGTTTTTCAGTGTAAATAACCCACCACCACCACCACGATTTTATTTTTTACACTAAATTTTGGAAGGGTAATATGATGTTCATTTTTGTATGGTAGAGAGTAGAAATCGTAAAATACTTTATTATTAAATGCCTTTTAGTTAATATAGAATACAGATTTCAGTGCTACTATGTAGTAAGTGCGTAACATTTTATTATTTTCCAATTTTGCATATAGGTTATATATGTAGGTTACAATAGCTTGTGGATTAGTCAGAATTCTCCAAAGAGGGATAACCAGCTGGATGACCTTTTGGCCCTCTTCCAGAATAATGTTTTTATAATGTGTGTGTGTGTGTGTGTGTGTGTGTGTGTTTTGCAGTAGGTAATGACATAGCCTTAATGCTTTACATTCACAAAAGAACTTAGAATCCCTGTATTTCCTACTATATTGCAATAGCACATACAAAATAATCCAGAACCATCTAAATTTGTTGTTCCTTATACA